CTTGAATGATTACATATTTTTAGACGAAATTTGAAATTTTATCGATGAAATTCGGTATAGCTTCCTATGAAATTCTAAAAATTAAGATGCTACCAACAGCAAAAAACCCTAGGAGGGGGAATCAGGAAAATGGAAATTTTTTTTGATAAAATTTCATCATTTGGACTAAGCATCACCCTCCATGAGTTTCATCTGGGTCCCACACTCGGAAGTCGAGATTCAGCATACTGAAAAATCCTGGATACGTCACTGGTTTTTAGCTTATTGCTACGGAGATACGACAGTTTTTAAATAAATGCTGTGGTAGCAGAAAAGTTGATTTACGAAATTTAACTTGAAACTGTGCATAGAAACAAGCCTTTATGAGAATAGTTTATTATGAAAATTTCAAGTTGTATAATTTATTTCTATTGTGAAATAAGAACATGAAATCTGTTGGTTTATTTAAGTTTTGTACAAGACTTTCTCTATATCTTAGGATATACAAACAGTGACAAAATTTGAAACATTCACAAAAAATTATTCTCGTTGAAGTTTCAAGTCGAAAATCAATTTTTATATTATCAAGGTATTTATAATTCATGCGAGTCTACATAATACGTATAGACTCGACTTAAAAATGATTGATCAATTGGAAGAGTTTTCTCGTAAATAAATTTACAATTGAAGATTTCTTCTTTTTAAGATTGTGAATGTTCTGTTTATTGATATTTTCCTTGACATATGTTTTGTTTTTATCTTTCAGATTAAAATATGCATATAATTTTTTTTGCCATATTAATTTGTTTTATTATTTTAATGGTGGATTCTATTCCATCGATACATTTACATACTAATTTAAATACACATAATAAAATTCATTTACGTTTACGTCGTCGTGAACTTGTTCAAGAAGAAGTACGAAAAACTATGTTAAATTATATGACAAGTTTAAAAGGTGAAATAACTGATATTGTTATTGAAGAAATGATTGGTTATTATAATAGTCAAAGAATAAAATTATATTATTTAGAAAAAGAATTATTTAATATAAAAAATTCATCTTTACCTATTCGAAATACAAGTCAAATATTAAATGATTTAGTATTACGTCTATCGAAAGAACAACATTTATTTGCATTAAATATATCATCAATGGAATATAAAATAAAAAATTTAACAATTATTTTAAATAATTTATTAAATGAATTACATCAACAACAAAAACCTATTCAACATGTGAGAAGACTTGTTTCAACAAAAAAAGATTTTCAACATTATCAAACACCAATAGGTTAGATATTAAGCTTTTTTTTTTTTATGCTGTACTTTAAGAACAGTGTTCTTAGAACACTGTAATTTCAAATAAGCTTAAACAAAAGAAAAATTAGTACCAAATAAAAGCACATAAATAAATGCGAAAACCTCGAATTTAAATCCGAGTGTTATGTGTACTTCAAAAAGTGAAGAGGTATATTCACTTTGTTTTTTATCAACTGAGACATATCTAGGCAATTTGCTTTTTGCATGCAGCTTTTCTGCATTTTGAGACCTTTTTCAGGGGATGTTTTGTTAGAAAGCTACG